TTGATCTTGGTACAAGTTGACCTTAAGCACTGAAGGCCCGCCCGCTCGTGTAGGCCCTTTTGGCGCGCTTCAATTTGCCTCGCTTAGCGTGTGCTGACTAGGTTTCTATGCGTTATTATTCTAAGGTTAGAACTATATTTCTAGATAGGTTAGAAATAATGGTTGCAGTGGTTATATTTCATTATTTTAATTTACTAGCAGAAAATGAGTTTTTTTTAAATACTGTTTTATTTTACTTTCAATGTCCTTTTTTCGCAAACGTATTAAAAAACGTCGTTTGATACACGTGCGGATTTGTCATTTTCACTTGTCTCGCGTCTTGACCCTCGCCTCTGGCTCGGGCCAAGAAGCCTCGAGCCTCGTGAATAATGACTAACTTTCCGCACTTATATCAAAAATAACTATTTTAATACAGTTGCTCAAAACGTGGTATTTTTCGCACTACAAATCGTGCGGAAAGTTGGATTTCTCGCACTAGTGCTTTTTACTTTTCCAGTTTTTTTTAATTTACTGTTGTTTTAAGTCTTAAACATAGAACTAAAGAGATTGTATATTTATTTCATATTTATGTGCTTTGTGACGTAAGTCATTCGTCATTACTATACTATATCTATGGAGAGACCGCATTTTTACACCTATGAAGTAAATGCTCCTTAGAAGCGATTATGTAGAAAATAAAGTAATATAAAATAGTAATTTTAATGTGGCTGAATACTGGCAACAGTTGCCATATTGAAAAAAGTCGGCCAAAAAAAGTACTATTTTTTTTCATCGTTTACATTCCCGCCTTTTTCATTAACTTTTTTACGATTTGATTTTGTTATTGACTACTAAAGAAAGAATTTACAATATTATTTATGCAAAAAATGAGTGATTCCGACGAGTGTATTGTAGATTTAACACCACCAGATATACGTGCAAAAACATTAATAGCAAGCAATAGTACTTTACCGGATAAATCGAAAGATAAATACACAGCCGTCTATGATCAGTTTATAGACTGGAAGCTAGAACACAAAACGGTTTCATTCTCGGAAAACGTACTTATGGCTTATTTTCTCGAACTGTCCAAGAAATACCAGGCATCAACTATGTGGTCAAAATATTCCATGTTAAAAACTATGATTAAAACAAATAACGACATTGATATAAAAAACTACACGAATCTGACTGCGTTTCTGAAGAGGAAATCTGAAGGATACCAAACCAAGAAGTCTAAAGTGTTGACAGCATCTAACATTGAAAGATTTATTAACGTAGCTCCAGATCATCAATATTTGGCTACAAAGGTAGGACTTAGACACAATCTTTCGTTTCTGATATGTACACTTATTAAGTTATCTACACTACAAATATGTGACTAATATTATTTATTAAATTAATTTGCAGGTTGCACTCATTTTTGGGATCTCTGGTGCATGCAGGCGCGAAGAACTGTGCAACATTACAGTTAAAGATATTGCAACTCATGGAAATATGATAGTAGTAAATATCCCAAATACTAAAAATAAAATTCCGAGATCGTTTACTGTTGACGGGCCATTTTACGAAGTTGTTAGGAAATACTACAGTCAGCGTACATCAAAAGGAAAGAGTGACCGTTTGTTTCAAAATAATCAGAAAGGGAAATGCACTGCGCAGGCTATTGGCATCAATAAATTTGGAAACATCCCAAAAGAAATTGCCACATTTTTGAATTTACCAGGTGCCGACCTTTATACAGGTCATAATTTTCGTAGGTCTTCTGCCACATTACTTGCAGATTCTGGGACTAATATGACAACCCTAAAGCGACATGGTGGATGGAGACCGAGTCACGTTGCTGAAGGCTACATAGAAAGCTCCATTGTTAACAAATTGAAAATCGGAAACCAAATAACACAGTCTATCCATATACAGCCACCAATTGAACACTGTCACCCTACTCCACACTCTTCCACGTTTTATGAACCCCAACCAGGCCCGTCTCAGGCCCCCGACAATATTTGTAAACCTGAACCAGGAACAAGTTCATCTGATTCCGTCGGACGCCAACGTTTTTGTACACCAACTAATAATCAAGGACCTGAGCCAGAATCGACGCAGACATGCGAAATTAACAGCAGCTTGAGTCAAACTGTGAACTTGCCGGCAAAGACCTCAAAGTACAGTGTTACTCTTAATAATTGTTCAAATTGTACTCTGAATTTTTATCAAACAAAAGAATAAAATGAGGTTTTTTTAAAATACTGTTTTATTTTACTTTCAATGTAGGTTTTTCGCAAATGTATTAAAAAACGTTGTTTGATACACATGCGGATTTGTCATTTTCACTTGCCTCGAGACTCGTGAATAATGACTAACTTTCCGCACTTGTATCAAAAATAACTATTTTGTATGTTTAGTTGTGATGATGAAATAAGAAAAAAACTTTCGTTATATTCAGGAACCCCTGATTTCGTTATAAACCGGTAATGGTGCAAAGAGGTACACAGTACTAGCTCTGCGAAGGAATTTTAAGAAATTAGTAAAAAATAAAGATAACACGATTTTCCTATCAGCTGTTTTTATTACACTACAAAATTCATAATTATACAAACGCAATAGCACGTTTCTTATAACCATTTCATATTATCTATGGTTGAAATTTTAAGTTGAACGCGCCTGACGCCTCACTGCGCTCAAGTAACGCACGACGACGCGCGTCGACGCTTGAGTCCATATTTGCATAACACAAATTTGTACCTTAATAATGGGTAAATAGAGATGAACATGCTATACGCGAAAAACATGGCGCGTCGCGACGCTTCAACGCTGCGCCAGTGTGAGTTGAGCCTTATATATCGCCTCCACCAGCATCGCGCGAATTTAAAATTCGCGTGCAATACGCCTGACTCTCGACTCGTCCGCATGACGCCCGTGACTCGCGCGAGTCGAGATAGAAATCTTTGGTTATGTTCAGTTTACGCGCAACGTTCAGAGCGAGTTCTAGGGAAATGAAGCGCCAAAATTTTGGTACAATAGAAATATATAAAAATGAAATAAAATAATCAGTTTACTGATATTTACTGAATCCGTTCTCAAACGCTCGCGTGTCGAACGTTTCTTCTGGACGCAACGTGCTTATTTTGTTATTTTGCAAATCAAAGTAATTATTATAATAATAATTATTAATTATTATTATACTTTATTGTTATTTTGGTTAGATATTCAAAGAGCGCGCTGCGCATCTCGACGCCGCTTGTTGCATCTTCTTTTTAATTTTTTGTTTAAGAAATGTAACTTTACATTATAAAAGATAAAGACGTTTACGTTGTATTTGATCATTTGCCTGTGGCAATTTGAGGCGACCCTTTGGTGCGAAGGTATTAGAACAAGAGTAAATAAAAACTCAGCTTCCGTTTACCCGGACATTCTATTCAGGTAAACGAACCTTATACAAGAAATATAATAGTATACGCCATTTCAGTAATAACCATTGACTTACAATTATATGGACGTCGGGTCCGCGCTAAAAAGTGTCCGAACTTATAGGGCGTTAAAATCGTATACAGAGCGTCATTCACGCTTTAGTCTTCGTTTGTTCGACTGACAGCGAAGCAAGCAAAATTAGACAGTACTGCGATGACATTACAATTTAAATTCAACGTTTTAGCTTTTTCATATTCCTTTACATGTCACTACGTTTAAATAGGTTGACTTGGGACATTTTTTTCGTGGTTTTTGTATTAGACCCGTCGTCCATTTATTTGTAAGTCAATGGTAATAACATTGTCATCCGAAAAACGTACATGCTAAATTTTATATCCTAATATTAAAATCTGTAAAAACTGAGTGGGTGTAACAAACAGGAATGGATAACAGGTAATAAGAAAAATTAGATAGTGAATGTATGTGTATAATATTTCTTGTGTAGGTAATGCATTACAGTAACATTTACTAAAAGGCCTCTTCGTATTTGATCCTCAAAGGATCGGCCTGTGGTTTTGTACTAAGGAATTCCCTGTACAGTAAGTATTAGAGTAACGAAATTAGTTCCAGAACACTACCCCAGAACACCACGAACAGGGGCAATTTGGGAAGAATTGCTTTATTAAGTTTTGCTCATCAGAAATTTGTCCTGGGATCCGGAACTGCTTAGTTTAACTTCATTAAGTATTACAGTTTGTGTTTTTTAACGATTTTGCTTTTTAATTGTTACTCTTTCTTAGTAGTATATTTTTGCAATAACACTGCACTTTCGCATACAAAATTTTAGTAATGAATTTAGAATATAAGGAAATTACCGTTCTATAGTTCTGGCCACTTTGTAATGAAATAAAGTCTTTTTAGTGTCAAATTCAGATAGAAATTTATTTCAAATAAAATTCTTAGGTTTCTGAATTTAAAATATTGACGTAATATTTCTTTCGTTTCGTTTGGCTTTCCTTTTGGTTCTTTTCGCATTTACTTTGAAATGCATACATAAACTGCTGAAACTCCTGTATCTGAGAATGTATGAATGATATTTATTGCCTTAAAATTCGGCATACAAAAGGTGGTACACGTGTATACACAACAAGAAATCGAGTATGGATAGGATACAAATAACGAACGCAATGCGTGTTTTCGGTTTTACCCGATTCCTTAATGGAAATTTTAGACTTACGAATGAACCTCGTGCAAGATTAGAGCTTAAGGTGACTAATGACGAGTTGCGAGATATTATAGAAGCTGTTACACCGTAAACTCAGTCGAGTTAGTAGAATGATTTGATTTAACAATATACATACATAGCTGCGAATAGAAAATGGCTTTACCCAACCTGTGTCGTAATTTGATATATTATGCTTACATAACAAGTAATTGATTTAGTCTAGTCAAAATAAGATTTTGCGGGCGCATGAAGTCCACACTGCGTAGGACTCACGGAGGACTTTATTACCTATAAGATAATTTTGTTTAGAATCTTGTAATATTTCTAAAAACAAGCGAATTTTAATTTTTGATGTAGCTACTCAATGACGTGTTGTTCTTTCTAGATAGAATCGAGAGACGTGTACTTTTGCACAGAAGATTGGCCGGCGCACGAAATTCGGAAGCAGTTCGGGACACTCAGCTTTACGTTAGTTTACGCAATCCCGGGTAAGTTGAGGGGAGTCGAAAAACAAACATTAAACAGTCCATAACGCTTAAAATCGTGATGAAATCTCCTGCAACTCGAATGGACAATTTTTATTAACGCTAATAAAGTAGTCATCAGAAGTTTGCACGCAATTTTTCTGGGACATCTTATAATTAGTCTGTAGTAGATAAGCTTCCATAGTCCGTAAAATTTAGCTTGATGGTAAACGATCAGTGAAACGAGAATCAATTATAACGTATTTAAACCAGCGTTGTAACGAATATCTCTAATTGCAGGTTTTTGGTCACGATATGATTTCTTTTTATTTTCTCGATTTTTCTGTAATTAGCGATATTTACTTGACCAATATGAATACGAATCTAGTGTTTTGATGTCATGGTAATAACTGAAATCAACTCATACAAGTTAGGTCCATCATACGAATAATGGCGAAAAGGCTTGGTGCCACTGTTTTTGTCAATTTTCAGTAAAATTTCCGTAGATGTACCGAGTATACCTAAAAATAGTATGTTGGTGCACATTGGATAAAAGTTCACCAAAAATAGGCAGCTTAGCCGAAAATAACAGAAAATCACTGAAAATACGTAACGTTTTAAAATCACTGCTTAACCATTTCAGGACGGGATGAGTTGATCGGTGACATATCCCAACATAAATATTTTTTCCTTCGGAAGTAACTTCATTGTGTTATGATGTGGAAATATATATTTTCACCTCAGCAGCTCGAACAAGGCTATTTTGCTGTGTGAAATCAGTGAGCAAAATCTTATTTTGCTCACTCCGTGAGAAAAAGTAGCTTTTTGCTTTTTAAGTGGAGACTTGTCATTTAATGCGAAGGGGTCTAATACAAATTCGACGTATTTCAAAATCAGTCGCTCCGTCCCTTTCACTTCATTACAAGAAAAAGGAAAAAGAAAATTATGGTTTATTCGTACTTCGATATTTAAGCTACATAGTAGACCCCCACAAAATGGCTGAACGAGTGCACGTTCGGAAACTCGTCAATTCATCTAAAAGATAAATTATGTGAGAAATACAAATACGATTTTATACTATGATAATTTAGTTTTTACAATTTTCATTAAAAATAAAGCAAGTGTTGCAATAAAAATATGCTAAATTTATAACGTCAATTAAAGATAACAATATTTACAATGTGTGATTTCAATGAATACAAGCGAGAACGTTCCGGAACGCAATAAATAAAAGCGCGCTTTCTTTTTTTTTAATTCAAAATTTCTTATTTGCTTGCGATAGGTACTTCTTTGATAGTTAATTGGATACCTACCTACGTAATAAAATAGAAAATATGAGCGATTCCAGTGAAGACGACAATTTTTTAACTCCTCCAGAGTTAGTTGAAACTGTTAAAAATGCTGAACTAAGTTTCTTGTTAGTATATATATATGTTCTCGCTGCTGAGGTGAAAAGTTGTATGTATCACGCGAGAGCAAAGTTATTTTGCAGCTCGTATTTTTGAGTCCCTCGCTTCGCTCAAGATTCTAATTCTGAATCACTCGCTACGCTCGTGATTCAACTATAGAATCTTTCGCTTGCTCAGGACTCAAAAACAGCACTCGCACCAAAAAACGACTTTGCTCTCTTGTTGAACAAATAACTATTATGAAAAAAACCTTAGTGAATTAACTCCAGCCGTGATGTATCAATGATTTGTAGATTTATATTATGTACGATAATGGGTGGTAACGTAAACATGTACAATAACTGCAGTTTTGTGATTTTTAAAAATATACGGACGCTGCTACAAATTTACGTCGTCGTCTTAATTTTGTCGACCTGTCATTCTAATCAAGCTAATTTTTAGGGAGTATATGTAGTAGTACAAGTAACTTCATTCAAACATTCATGCGTGGCTGATCTATTTGCATTCAAAGCGTGTAATAATTATTATATAAAATTGAATACCAGACGTTTTGAATGGAACAGAGACTGTAACACAACCCTTCTCGTTGTTTATTGTGATCAATTGGAGTCTGAATTAATTAGTAGATGCTAATGAATTTCCCATCCAATATAATGACTAAGTGTTCATTCTGCTTGTTGGAATTTCATAAGCCCATTACTTGACGCTTGATGCAAAGATACATGATCGAATAAAGACAGTGCAATGTGGTAATTTTCTTTTATTATGAATACTGCTCGTAGTGGTAACTGGCAGAGCCCACCTAATGTCACCTTATCAAAATGGCATTCCATTTTTCTACTATATTTATAAAATCACAAAACAAAGCTGCTAAAACTTTTTTTATTGTAATTCAATTTAAATCTTGTGTTTACAATTTTGCATTGTTTTCATAAATTGTTTCCGAGGCAAGTTTAGTGTTGGCCTGAAGCGTTAGAAAACAATTTTAATTGAACAATCTTGGAGTCGAGGTTAAGTACACGCATCCAAATGGAATTTTGTACATCGTCGTCTTAGAGTGAATATATATAACAAACCGGAACACAGCAACGCTCACATGACTGCTTAGCGGCAGAAATACGGGTAGATAAGGTGGTAGTACTTCCCTGGACGAACACTTTCACAAGGAGTCGGGCTCTTTTCTGCTTAAAATGATTCTTCTCTCGGATGCTATATTTTATTATTTTAGGCAAACGCGTCCCATCGTCGGTCACATCGTCGCTTAACATCAGGTGAGATTGTGGCCAAGCGTGTGTCTATTATATATATAAAAAAAAAATATTACTTTAATAGCACTTTATCGCGGAGGCCGGAAAACAACAGGTTGCTGGACGAGTACGAGTTACAAGGCCGAGTGAAACCTTGTATCAATACGAGTCAAGCAATCCCGTTTCCCGCCGAGACCTATATAGTGCTTTCTCAAATAATATGAGGTAGTACCTAATAAAAGACTAAACAGAGGACGATTTATAATAGAAAAAGTAAAAAAATATTGTTTAATATCAAAAGCAATATTTGATATGTTAGGACAATTTTGCTGAAAGAATATGTTGTTGTTTTTCTAGGCACTTAATAGTAGTCTACTGAATTTCTGATGGTGTAGTTCATGTAGTTCTTCAGTGTTATTATGTAAACAAACATAATTATTAATAGTAGATAGATTTAAATGTTTCAAGCAGCCGACAGTAATGAATTTTCATACTTCTTTTGCGGCACTTGGCCGGAAAGAAGTCTCACGATCCATAAATGGCATACTTTCCGTGTTCGATTTTTGAACGTAATATAAACATTTTCGAGCATGTTTGGGAACAAACATACAGTCGAATTGACATTTGAGTTAAAGTTTAATAAGTTTCGTTTCAACAAAAATCAGCTAAAGCATTCTACGTAAAAATGCGTCACTGAGGTATTCTCTCTATAGTAACGCTCTACTCGTAACATTGAAAACAGGTACATATTGTTTCACGACCTTTGTTTCCGTTATGTATTCAAATTTAAATGACCACATCCGATTTGATCATTCCGAAATGTGGGCCTGGCAGAACTAATAGTTTAGTGTATCTCCAGGGTCGATCACGATTATGTCGTACGCGTGCATGGGCCGCACGCTCTGCTCCGTGCGTCCACCCTTTGACATCGACGAGGGGAACGTCAGCATGCAGCAGGTTAGTGGCAGTTGGTGTGACTTCGTTTTTCGCTTTCAGTTTAGATTTATGTGATAATATTGGAACAACGAGTGTACGTAGAAAGTCACCGATATCAGAATATACTCTACATTTAACTATGCTAAATAATTGCCTCCGTGGCCGAACGGTTACCATACCGGACTGCCACGCAGAGGTCCCAGGTTCAATTCCCGGACCGGGAAAAACATTTGTATGGCCTACATTTATTTATCTTGTGAGTTTGGTAATTGTAATTTGTGGTTGTCTATTTGTGTATGTAAACACAGGCTTTACCTAGTGCGGGGCTCTGTTGAGTGTGTGGGTTATTATTATTTAACTTTAAGGAAGTAATACACATAGAGTGCGTAAACCACCCACTAAGACCCCGGATTATTGTCATGCATTTTGATGTGTATTTTTGGTGTAAAACAAGCGATTACTTTACTAAGATGATGCAGTTAGAAGAAAAGTTTTAAAACTGTAAGTTAAAATATTAGTAGAAAAATTAACATGCAAAAATTCGTGAGGTCCACTGATTCGTTCCGTGGCTTAGTTGACATAGCGTCTGGCACGGTTTGCTAGAAGACGTTGGTTCGAATGCGAAATAGTTTTTTCTAAGTGTTCGATCTTTTTGTATCTGATGACTTGTAGCACAGGTGTTAAACCTATAGCAAGCACCAACTCCTACAAAATACTGTTCTAGAATTATTAAGAAGTTGTATGTTGAGAAAATGAAGTATTATTATTATTTGTATTAATAATTATAATAAAATATAACAGTTTTCATTTTTTACCTTTTATTTTTAGATTCTGGTTAAATTCCTTAGTTTGGGCGGAAAATACATTTACGAATAATAATTTAGGTACCTAAAGGATTTGTGAAGGCTGATTCCCCGTAAACTGATAATTAATGTAACTTTGGACAGCGGAAGCACAAAGCCGCTGTTTGGATTATAGTTTTGTTGCCTCAGACTTCGAGAAGACGAAGTTTACATTCACATAGGCATATTAATTTGAGTAAAGTGCTTTATTGAATAACTATGTGATGTTCGCGGAAGTGGACGAAACTTGAGCTCAAGTAAATAACCGCCTTCAATTCTGCAAATGGCCCTGGAGTACGGGAAAATATTCCATTTAACTCTGTGAATTCGAATTCATCTAAGTCATTCGACGACCGCCGTGCCTTGCATATCGGTTTTCATGGGGTCGCCATCTCTGAGGTTCCAAGTTCGATTCCCGGCCGGGTCAGTTTGGAAACTAACTTTTCTATATTGTCTCGGCTCTGGGTGTTTGTGGTGCCGTCGTTATTTCCGATTTCCATAACACAAGTGATTTAGCTACTTTCTTTGGAATCAACGTATGTGATGTTGTCTAATGTCTAAGACACATAACATAAAACACAAAGTATAAGGAACATAAAGTTCAAAGTACAAGATAAAACAGAAACCTGTTTGAATTTATTTTTTTATTTATTTAAACACTTTATTGTACCACAAAGTAACTTACAAATTTTCAGAAACAATTTAAATATTTGTGTACAAAGGCGAGCTTATCCCATAAAGAGATTTCTTCCAACTAACCTTTAATTTAGTGAATAACCTTGTATAATCTCTGTAAGATTCTTGGAAACTTATAGAACTGTTTTGTGGACAAACATTAACATAAAAACGGAAAATTCTAAAGGATTTACGCTTAAACATCATGTAAACAGCGTAAATTAATTTTAATTTTAAAATCAAAGATAGACACTGCGAGTGTATTATTGTACACGAGTATATAACCAACTTAAATTTAATATTGTTACTTGATGGAGATGTGTCATGCAATAAATATCAAGTTTTAATGAGACCCTCGCGTCTCCGGGGACACGAGGGTTCTACGCATCTGTTTCATGCCTGCAGCGAGTTGTAGTTAGATGAGTTTTCTGTGCCGTCGATATTTTCGTCAAAAATGTTTAACGTCTTAAAGGCTAACTAAGAAATGTGTGTATAAATAGATACTACACTCCGATTTGTTGGTGGTTTATGGGTACGTTAGTTTAGTTGTTTTTTATCTGATCGCAGAAACTTGTGTTAGTGTTGTTGTTATTGTTGAAAAAACTTTGCGATGCGTAGTTACAGTGCATAAATAATAACTGGCATAAAGTTTGAAATTTCACTTCACTGCCACTGCACCCGTCACCCTGAGGCATAAGTTGACTAGTCCCATGTGCCTGTAATTTCGCCAGTACCCTTACCCTTCCAAATCGGAACACAGTAATGCTCAGATTAGAGCTTGGCGGCAGAAATATGGATGGTGGTAGTACTTATGCATACCATTTTTATAGATACATTACTTTTGTGTATTACTTTTTTTGGGTAAAATGTGGTGGTGTTTTATTAGTAATATTATTGCTACGAAGTGCGAACAATGCAAAGAAAAATTTCTTTGACATAACTTGATTTGAACCAGTCTCTGTTGCCTAAACATTAAAATCAATTATTTTTCCTCGGTAGAGACAAATACTTTAGGAGTAGTTTAATTTCCCAAACTTTTAAAACAAAAATTAATGAGCGACCCGAGCAAATTTGTTGTCAATCTAAACTTTTTTATCATATTTTATGTAAAATTGTATTACGAGCATTAAGTACTTGAAGTATAACGAATGTTTAGCGCAAAAGGGCCAACGGATCCTTTGGGATTTCCATACTGCGGACCAATTGAACTGGGTCGGACGATTTCCGGAATTCGTGATGCAAACTATCCGTTTGCCTCTTCAAGGGTTAAGCTATTAGATCGCGAACAATATCCTTTATCTGCAATGAAAAAAAATTACAAAAGAATTTTACACAAATACATTAAAAAAAATTAAAAAACGAAGACTTATGCTTGATTTTGACTGAGATGGAGTAAATATTTAAATAAATGATCCGATTAATTTTTTCCTTAAGTAGTAATTTAACGGGACAGTTGCTTCAACTGTTTCAAGCACAAGTCGGGTCATGTATGGAGTACTGCTCCCTATGGGATGGCTCTGCTACATACCAATTGGCCACTTTGGATTCAATCGACAAGCGTGCCGTGAGGCTTGTAGGTGACACGGATTTAATAGAAGCGAGGCTGCATAGCTTTGAACACCGTCATAAAGTTGCCAGCTTATCGTTATTCTACAAGATAAATCACGGAGAGTGTACGATGGAATTACATGATTTGATTCCGCCTTTCCCATTCCATCACCGTAGGACCAGACGAAGGCTGACGTTCCACGCCTATGTCGTGGATATTCCAAAGATTCGCACGAAGCGCTTCGCTTCCACATTTACGAGTACATGGCGTACGGCAAAGGAGTGGAATTCCCTTCCTGCAGACTTGTTCCCCGAACGCTATAACTTGGGCCTTTTCATGGCGAGAATGAATAAGCAACATTTAAGTGTGTACATCGTCGACCTCATCGGCGCCTCCATCAGGTGAGTTGGAGGTCAAATGCGCTCTTGTTGTACTTTTTAGAAAAACAAAGAATTACTTCATTCAAACGATATCCAGAATACTGACTATTATTTTTTTAATAGATAACAACAAGTGCGTGTTTGGCTTTCATCTTACCTGACGGAAAGCGGCAAAGCGGTCGACAATTTAGCATGGACATCTACACAACGCCTATTATTCTCTATTATATGGTGTACGCCATATACATATGGAATAAAGTAGTTTAAAAAGCAGTGGATTCACAAGCTTGACGGCTGCCGACTCAAAACTGAAAACTTTGTATTGTAGACAAACCGAATTCTCATTTCTTGTAGTGTAGTTGTTATTGTCTTTGTATGTGTCACTGGTATTACAATCTATCTTCTCCCAGTTCATTTTCCTCATTGTGTAGCACAAAGTGGCTAAAGAAGCAATCTTATTAGAGAATAATATGCTGATCGTTAATAAATTATTTTTGTCCAATGAAAAATAAATGGATTTATGGCACTATTATCCTGTTACTTGACATCAATGTAATAATGTATTTATTTAGGTTTTCAAAATTACCCCAAAATGTACTCATATTTTATATAATATGGTTAAAATGATATACTACAATTTACATGTGAAAATGATATTTAGTTAAACTGTGTTAGTTAAAAGTGTAGTTAAACTGATCGATAAATAAAATATGTTAAACTAATTATTAACCCATAGCTTGTTTGTTGCTCGACCGTCTTTTGTGTTGATGTCTTCTTGTAGAAGAACAAGAAAGTGAAAGATTTAACAAGTGGACGGTGTCGAAGTACAGTGAAGGAATGTAAATTATAGTAACATAAACGATATATTTTGTAAGTCATAACCTTTGTTGAACGCTTTCAACCGATCATGTCAAGGTTTTCGTCTCTAATACGGGTGAAAGGTTAAAATTATAATTCTAATTTGTAACAACAATGTACTGCGTTTCAAAGATAGTAGTTTAAACGAACACAAGTTATCACAATGGCTTCGCGAGTGACACGCGGTGTTCCAACTATGATAGTTTCCCTAATTACTGAAACGTATGCGTCTTTTGTTGTGCATTTGATCTAAAAATATAGTCAAGGAGACATCAACACGATTGTTAAAATGTGAAATTGTTTTATAGTCCAGAAGGCACTCAAAAACCCATTAAAAGTCGTACGCACATTTTGGGACCACACAGTTGAGTATATTTTTATCGATACAACCAAATTACCTACTACCGGTCACAAGTGACATTAGTGCTAAATTGATGTTCTATTTTTGTTTAAAACTTAATTTACTTGTAAGTTTGAAACAGTGTTAATAGTTGATAGGTATATGCCTATTCTACTATAGTACCAGACCTACAATAAGTGATTCCACCTTGTATAAGTAAAAACCGACCACTTCAATGTGCCTATATTATCTACTAAGCTTTAATCTGTATTTAATATGTTCTGTACACCGTGTCGATTTCGTCAAATAAGCCTAAACCTTCCCAAACAGACTCGAGTAATCTTCATTTTTTGTGAAGCTCCTCAGCTGGATTAATTTGTACGTGTAGATACTCTAATGCCTTATTACATTTTTTGTTATCGCCGACGTCAAGGCAATGGACTGGCTACTGCGTTGTATAGTATATATTTGTTCACCGTGGATGTGCGTGACATTATAAAAAATCTATAGTAAAATTGAATATTTCAGAAGTATAAATACTTGTATAACTCAAGCATATCAGGTGTGAGAAAACTTGCACCTGCAAAAAGGGCATGCCCAGTAGTGAGGCGTAATATATGGATTAATATAGTGCAATAATTACTTAATGGAGTTAGGTTAACTATATTTTGTTAAATATTGACGTTGCCATCACAAAAACTCGAGAAAAGATTTCCAATTATTTATTTCATAGAAGAAACCTACTGGTTTCGATTGGTGTTCAAAAAATTTGATATTTATTCAACGGAAATCAAAAGTCAGTATCAATAATTGGCAATAACTCTATTGGAGAAAAATGTATACGCATATTATTTGTTAGTTAGTTATGCGAGTGGCTGCACTCGTTTCTACAACCGTTTAGTTTATTTGTGCAAGTCGATAATTAATCGTAAGGCGCGGTGATTCGAACTTTCATTGTTGCTTTCATCATTTGCAAGTCGTTAGTGCTGAAATTTGGTAGAATTATTTTCAAACAAACTTTTGTGTCGAACGGCTAGGACTTGGAATGCTATCTTTTTGTTTACAACTTGGTACCAATTGCCTGTACCCACCGGCCGTATGCGTTTTGTTTCATTTATACCTACCAGCCGCTTCCCTTACATGCATTACATCTTTTACACAATCAATTCATCTTATTCTTGGGTAATTCTTTAACGTTATTAGGGTAAGTTGGTGGTGGTTTTATTAGGAATACAGCCATTAAAAACGTGCGTCTTTTAGCAGGGTTTGCGCCTCATGAAGGAGCGCAAGCGGGTGGCGTGGATTCTGCTTCTACTAGCCGTACTGTTCGCGCTCTGCTGGCTTCCCTACAACATCATGCAACTGTTGCTTGATATCAACCTCGTCAACGCCAAGGACTTGAGTGTTTACTTGCCTTATGCGCTATTTTTGGGTAAGAATAATTGTAATTGAGCAACCAGAAAACATATTAGTAGTTTTTTAATAAGTATCTTTTCTGATTTATAGTAATCGTTCGTTAATTAGGAGTGCATTGTCATTCCTTCATTTATATACCATTTTTGACTCCACACGTATCTTTTTACATCTGAGAGGTATAACACAGTATAATTTTGTAAATGGTAAACAGGTCACGCGAATTCAGCCATAAATCCAATAGTATACTGCTTTATGACAAGGAACTTCCAGCGGTCTGCCAAGAAACTGCTTTGCGGCAGGAACGTTTGCCAGCAGACTAAATTCACGGTAAGTTCCCTAAATAAATAAATAAGTTCACCAAAATAAATTTTAGAAACAAATTAGCAGTATGGCATTTTTATACACTTCTATTCCCTTTGTTATTCATCGAAATTTTTATGAGACGATAAACTTGTAACTACTGCAAATGTAATCATAATTAATGTTATTTATTTATTTTTATTTTATTTTTTTTTTATTTATTTATTTCTAATTACAACGGACACATCCAATTACAGTAATTAGCAGGTACAATAACAATAACAAAGTAATAATAATAATAGTACAAAAATATAAAATTTAACACATAGACAATAATTACAAACAGGTAGACTCACATTCATCATTCTCGCAAAACATTATACAATTATTTAAGATCTCCTTCCATCCATCCGCATACACATCACATTCAGGCTTATCAAACAAGAGCGCGTTGATTTGAGCCAGTATCCAACAAAGAGGGGAATGTGCACGTGCCACCGTGCGGGCGTGCGGTGGAGCAAACAAGCGACGGTGCGGCTGACCCGCCCGCCGCCGCAAGTACTGCTCTGGGACGTACAGGAAACTCAGTTGGTTGTGGAGATCAGGAGCATCAATACAACCCCGAAGAATTTTCATTCCTATTAAAATTTGATTTCTTGCTCTACGCGCTCTAAGGGAATTTAAGCCCAGAATTCCTAATAGAAATGAAGTAGGGTATAGATAGGGGTAATAGGTGTAGATGCGCTTGTACAAATATCTTAGGAATACCTTCTGGACTTTTTCTAGCATCAGGATGTAGGTGCTTTCATAAGGGTGCCACACGCAACTACCTGCCTCAAGTTTACTACGCACAAGTGCGTAGTAAAGAAGTTTAATAGTTCGGGGATTCCTAAAGTCACGACAATTCCGAAGGACAAAACCCAAACGTCCAAAACTTTCTTTCACCACGCATAACATATGATCATGAAATGTAAGTTTGGAGTCAAACATTACGCCTAGGTCCTTCGTTGATTCTAAGCGTGTAAGATCATCATTGCCTAATCTATATTGATAGCGTGTTCTAGACAGCTTTCTTCCGAAGGTCATAACACAGCACTTTTTAATGTTTAAATGCATCTTATTTTGTTCACTCCATTCAAGCACTGAATCCACATCTTGTTGCAGTAATATGCAGTCTGTTTGTTTCCTAATCACGAAGGCCAACTTTAGGTCATCTGCATACATAACACATTTTGCATTTTTAATAACTTGGACAAGGTCATTTATCATGATCAGGAATAACAAGGGACCAAGTATTGAACCCTGACTGACTCCGGAACGAGTGTGATAAGGTTTAGATATATAACAGCTATATTTGTTTCAGTGGCGGTGTACCCAAAAGCCCGAGGGCTCGTCTAGCGACTACGACCTGTACCATGAGCCGCACAAAAGATGTTACTTGCAGGTCAACCGTTTTGCTATATTTTCCGATATTGCCATGACATTTTTATTACTGAATTTATATATGAAATAACGAGAAAATAGCAAGAAAATACGGCTCATGAGCACCAAAATAAAAGTTTATTGTTAGCAACACCCACTTAAAATGTTGGTTATAACCTAACGCCATTTCAAAATGCGCAAGGAAGCTCTCTAGCAGGTTTTGACTAAAATGAACAAGGAAGTAAATTTTTTTCACAATAAACACGGAAATGAGCATTTTTAATCTTTACGTAGGTAAGTAGAATATTAAGCAATTTTCAAATTTTTTAAATAAACTATTTATTACTAGACATTTTTTCTTGTCGTCTATATTTATAACTTTCCCTTTGTAGGATTTTCTTTGAAATAGTCTTATTGTAGGTGGATAAAACTTAAAATCTTATTAAAAGAATGGTGGTAAAAAACGGCTTTTGTAATAGTAAACGTGGAAAGTATTTCGTTAAGATTGGAACAAGTGCCAGATTGACGAATTAGGCTCTTTTTAAATTAAATTCCTGTTAATAATAATAGTCCAATAATCTTAAAAAAAAATTGCTAGTAGTCTTTAAATAATTGAATGTGTTGAGCAAAACTACAATTTATTAAGCTCTTTTTACGAAATAAAATGTATAGTTACGTCCTTCAAATTGAATATAAAGCAATTTCTCTTTACATGCAAACATCCGTTGCTTATAAAATTTACACGAAAAAATAAAATTTAATTTCAAACAGAATGTATTGTTCACTTTTTTTTAACTTATATAGTTCATAAGTTAAGTGTTATTATTTGAAAAAAATAATTCCTTCCCACTCGCGAGGTCTGCGCAGTACTACGCTCAGTCGCCTTTCAGGCTTTGCAACGAGTGAACTGCGCGTGTTTATGCCACAAAAAGTTGCTGTTCCTAATTAATTTCACTTGTGTTTGTGTCAAATTTTATTTGTATATACATATATTTGACTTTGTTCTTATATTTTAGATTTTATAAATTAGTTATTTCGTTATATTTACATTGCATCTTTTTTAATAACTACCAAAGACTAGACAATATAGATTAAAAAATAAATGTAAGGTGAAGTATGGAATTTGTACAATATACGTGCAAAAAATATGGCACTGGACGAGAAGGTTTATGTGTTCTGGACGAGAAGGCCTATTTGTTCTGGGTAGTGCCGCGAAGTGGATTCCGTTGCCCTTGGTCTCGGGTTTGATTCCCAGTAGAACAAATTTTTTATATGAACTTCCTGAACTTAGGCCTGGTCTGGGTTTCTGGTAATGCCTATGTTTGGAATCAGTTTCTCTGGCACTCATAAGGAGTACAGGGAGTTCCCTAGTTTGAGATCAGGTGGTTGGCAACAAAACAGACAAAAGTACATTACTCAAATTGATTCTACCCGGAGATGAACCCAGGACCAAGAGCTACGGAATACACTACACGGTATTACCCAGAACACTTAGTAGCAAAAAACCATTTTAGGAAAATTCAATTCCCAAATTGGTTCTACTGGGAATCGAACCCGCGACCAAGAGCAACGGAACACACTCCGCGATACTACCCAAAACACCTAGGCCGGGTGTGTAATGGAAGATATAACAACAAATAATCTATTTTCACTTGGTATAATAACATTTCATACAATTTCTAAGGATATAATCACTCACTGTATATAATTAACAAAAGGTATAACAACAAAAGGCATAATTTCAATGTGTATAATGAACCTTCAGTATAACAAACATTAGATATAATGATTAAGTGACATAATGAACAAATGGTATAAGTACTACCACTATAGTGTATTAAATAATAAACACAATATTACGTTTTACGAATAGTTGAAGCGCTCTACATTATGTTGATAAGACTTTTTTACTCCATTAAATGTACAATCGCAAAATATAATTGTTTTTGTAGAGCTTTAAGTGCTTTTTGTGTGATGAAATATATTTATTAAAACTTTAAGCAGAATATTTAATAGCATATACTAATCTAACCTAAACCCGCAGGAGGTGGTCGAACTAACTAGCAAATGCAAACAAATTCGGTTCTGGCAGCTTTGTCATTATATACCCTGTGACCTTTGTATCATGCAAGACTATGTCAAATGTCTGTAAACCATAAATTAGGTATGTCTGTTGAGCGTTATATTTCGAATCGCACCCCACCTAGGCCAAAAGCATTTTAGAAAAGTTAATTTCCCAAATTGATTTTACCGGGAATCAAAACCGGGACCGAGAGTTACGGAATACACTCCGCGTCACTACCCAGAACACCTAGGTCAGAACCATTTTAGAGAAGTTCATTTGCCAAATTAGCTCTACGAGGAATCGAACCCCCGACCAAGAGTTACGGAATACACTCCGCGGCACTACCCAAAACATCTAGACCAAAACCATTTTAGAAAAGTTCGTTTCCCAAATTGGTTCTACCGGGAATCGAACCCGTGACCAAAAGTTA